GGCATGCTTTAATTAGTGCCGGTCTGGCACTATTGAGAGCTCCGCCTGTGTGCAGAGATTTTACCGGCACTATACCGGGCATCTGGCACTATTCAACCGGCACTAAAAGGGTCCCTCGACTGTATACTGCCGCATTCGTCCCATTATTCTATTTCGCCTTGTAACTGGGCACACATGTGTGCCTGGGCCTCATCCGCTCATCGCCTTAAAGAAAAAGACCAAAATCGAATTTGGCAAATTGCACCCACGTGGCCCCCTAATCACCTTTTTCCCGCCCAAACGGCGCTGTGACCATGAAATGCCCCATGTTTGTGCTTCCCTTCCCCCTTTTGTCCACCCCACGCATTGTTTTCGAGCGAAATTGACACAGGTGTCCACGAGATGCGAGAGAGATGCCCGCTGGACTGTATTTGTCAACCAATCAGCAATCGTACAATTTATCATCCACTTTTTTGTCACGATTGGTAGCCAATCAGGAATCGTCCTGAATCGTGCAGAGTCGTTCCATAGTATTTTCAAGTATTTCGTACGGTTCAAACACGATTCAAAAAGTTGGCAGCTCTCTGTCGGCCTTATACATACAGTAGGTTGCCGAGTTCACGAAGTGAATTGGCTTGTTTTACAGCGTCTTTGCCAAGCGACGAAACCCAATCCCGATGGCAAACACGCANCGATTGGTAGCCAATCAGGAATCGTCCTGAATCGTGCAGAGTCGTTCCATAGTATTTTCAAGTATTTCGTACGGTTCAAACACGATTCAAAAAGTTGGCAGCTCTCTGTCGGCCTTATACATACAGTAGGTTGCCGAGTTCACGAAGTGAATTGGCTTGTTTTACAGCGTCTTTGCCAAGCGACGAAACCCAATCCCGATGGCAAACACGCAGGGGGCGGCTTGTTTTACAACGTCGTTGCCAAGCGACGAAAACCCAACCCCGATGGCAAACACCGGGGGGGGNNGACCAGGCTCTCACATCACCAAGCGCGAAGCGCCGTGAGATATTCGGCGAGTCGCATGAAGGGTGCGCTGCATCCTGCTAAGAATATTCGGCATCATGTGCTCATTTCCTTGTGTACGGATGACAGCTGCTGCGTATGACTCACTATATTCTCTGGTGCTTTCACTTCCAGAGACAGTTAGTTGTAAGCACTGCTGTGTGACTGCCTCGAGGGTGCTTGACCATTTCAACACAACGTGGTGCGATCATCCCCCTTGCGCGGAG